AAGAGTCAGGTTGTGATTCATGATGCAAATCCAAATTCTGCAGGCAAACAGCAAGGATTTGTCATAAGAGGCAGATTTCTAATATATTCTTCAGTCGAATTTATTAATAAAAAAGGAGGGAAAATAGATTTAGTTGTGGAATAATTAAAAGTTGTCAACATATTACAAGTAATAGTTTATATGCATATCTAATGTTAAGTGTGTTGGCAATAAATACAAAAACATACCTTTTCTGTGAGCTCAGAGTCAGAAAAGCCATCAAATGTCTCATCACTTTCTGAATCCTCTGCAAACACATCCACTAGTTTCTTCACATCAGCTTCACACTCTGCCTATAAATGAAGAGTAAAAACAGCTTCAAAAACTTGTATTAATGTTCATCTTAAATTCAGTAGGCATTCAGTGAGTAAAAAAATATACATTTTGATTCATGACTTCAGTGCAAACCTCTCCAGTTTAGCTAGGTTCTCCAACAGACAAACCTGTCGTTCAAACCTGATTGGAAACTAGTGGCGCTTGTTATGAAGATTCGGACAGAACGAACACAACCGAGAGGGGCGGTGTTTTGTTTGCTGACGACCTATTTTAACTCCGCCCTCATAGAAAGACGTGGACACTAAAACAGACTCCAAAACATATTTAAAATGTAATTTTCAAAACTGCAGTTTTGAAATGTACATTTTAAGTATCTGCAACCTCAGTTCTGAGGTTAAATAGAAGATATGTAAAAATAAAGGTTTATACTTCTAAATCGCAAGAGGGCTGTGGACAAAAGCTGTACTTACAATCTGATAGATTTGGAGACTTGTTTTACAAATTAAACTGGACTAAAGATTATCAAGTCAAAATTTGGCATGCAGATTGCTTTCTACCAAGAAAGCCTCAATGCTGTGTTTGATTAAAACCCCTGGATGTGATCACTCAGGCAAGGAGGTAATTTTTTTTTCAGACTTTTCTCTTTTCTTCTTTGATTTTGAAGTAGCTCAAGTTCAACTGACCAGTTCAGTTCTATATATAACATAATGTGTATTTGTATCCTGCTATGTCATTAAGTCCTCCATTTTCAACCAGGGGGATGTGCAGTTTCAGAGGATACCATGGGAACTTGGCCTGTGGCAACACCTGCAGGCTCAAATTCACACCTTGCAATTGATTGGAGGTTAGCATGATGACTACTACAGAAGACTTATAACACAGGGGATTCCTTCTAAGTCTAATGGTTCCTCTTTCCTCCACATCTGTGACACTCTCCTCTATTACTACTGCTAATTTCTGTCTTCACTTCTGAGCACACTTACAAGCACAGACACGCAGACCAATTCCTATACATGGTGCAATCACATATGCACAGGCAGCAGCGTAAAAAAATCTACACTATCTACTTGAATACCTATAGTTGCAGCAAACACATTTAATTCATTGTTTCTTGTTCTTTATTTCTTTTACTTGTATTTTTGTTTTCTTTTTCTTTCTTTATCAGAGTATTTCTTTTATGTTCCTCACTGATTTGACTGTTTTTTCTGATTTTAACAACTGTCTCCTTCTAATTACATAATGCTTTAAATAACAAATAAATTTAAATAAATTTAAAAACCAATAAAATAATGGTTTAAATAATGCTTTAGTTTTTTTTTTTTTTTTTTTTTTTTTTTAAATATTGGGAACGGTTTTTTTTTTTTTTTTTTTTTTTTAAAATTTTACCTTTTTTTTTTCTT